AAATAGTGCTCATTATTTCGAAATAGTGTTGCAGTGGTAGACGCACCCTGTGTGTGTGGATGTATCTATATGCAAACAGACAGAAATACGAATTTAACACAGAGGGGACGCTGTGTAAATCAGACATTGTGTAAGCCTTTTATTTTAGTACACTTCCTTTTTTCAAGATACATTTGGTAGTCTATAGCAGAAAGTTAACTAGTGTGAGTACTATTGTTCCGACTGTCTGCATAGCATTGGAACTCTCTTTATCTCCCCTTACTCCTGAGTAGCAATGTGGTTTTTTTCTGTTTTGAAAATAAATGGTTGTTTTACTAGCCCTTAAAAAAAATCACTGACCTGGGCAAGCGGAGGAATAGAGTTTTCCAAATTCGTATGAATTTAAAATCAGGTGATTTAAAACCAGGGGGAGGGATAGCTCAGTGGTTTGAGCATTGGCCTGCTAAACCCAGCATTGTGAGTTCAATCCTTGTGGAGGCAATTTGGGGCAAAAATTCATCAGGGATGGTACTTGGTCCTGCTATGAAGGCAGGGGACTGGACTTGATGACCTTTCAAGGTCCCTTCCAGTTCTAGGAGATAGGCAATATCCATTATATCTCTCAGAGGAAAAATACCTGTTCTACAGAGATAGTCCTAATAGTTACAATATATGAATCCCCTCAATAATGGACAGGATTCTATTAGGCTGAAGTCATCAACTGTCTTCATCTACTTCTTTCCCTTTTGAAAATTCCCTATGGATAAACATTCCCAGAGATGAGCTATGCAGTGATCAACATTTGGGAGGGGAGCAGAATAGGAAACACATACTAACACTCAAGGGGCCCCAAATATCAGAAGTCCATAGACTACTTTGTAGGTTACCATCCATCCTTTAGAGGGTTTTCTTCTTTTTATTTCATGGACATGCTTACAGGAAATGTTTGTTACAGAATTGGATGCCTCATACTGAAAATGAACCTTGCTTGTGGATATACTCACAAACGTGGATCCCAAAATGTACCCATGCAGCAAAATTATGTTAGAATTATGGAAACACCACTAAGGACGGTGTTTATTACCATGATCCATACCCTTGACTGCAGTTAATGAATGTGTTTATTTACACTGCTAAGTATAAGTCATGCTGCATATATAATTCAATATCTAGAGTCAGAGAGGGATTCCAAGAAAACTAATCAGATGACCTTCCTTTCTGAGAGGTGTTGGAAAGCATATTATACCACCATTTTTCCAAAATATTTTAAAGATAATTTAAGGAAGTCTCTCACTCTCTAACCAGAGAAGCTATTGAATGAGTCATAACCAGGGGACATGCATAATCTGGACACGGATAAAGAATTTTTGATTAGACAGACTCTTGTGACTCAAGGAACAAACTACTGATTTCCTGGATCCAGCTACAGGACAAGTCAGAGCCATGGACTTCAATGAGTAAAGATATGCATATGCATAAGTGTTTTCAGGATCTGAGTCTTAACTTCAAATTATTTAGAAAAAGGAAGACATATTTTTGTACATTACTTGGCACAAAAGAGTCCCAAATCTGGGCACTATTATAATATAAATTATAAGAAATAAGACAGCAGCAAGTCATGTACTTTTCTAAGAAAATGTAACTCCCTACTGGAGTTAATTTTTATTTTATAAAAAAGTAAAAAAAAAAAATAGACAAAAACTGCACTTACCCACACAAGCTTTAAGTGCCTTAATTAAAAATAAAATAGCCAAAATCAGAATCAACCTCTTCCATGTATGGAAATAACTAGCCAGACCTCACAACAAAGGGAAGATGAGGAGCAATCACCTACACTTCTAAAATATTACACTCCATGCTACATGCATCTACCTAAAAACTCCTGCAACACGACTTGCAGTTCACATTTTCATAACAGCCAAAAATATTAGGCTAAATTAGGGAATAATAACATTTTTGTTTTAAATTCCAAGAATGCAAGGAAACAGCTTCAAATCCCTATTTCTTATTTTATACATTTTTAACCACAAGAAATTCCAAGGGAATTTGTTTTCATGTTCTCCATGCTCGCAAATTATCATTGCTGCAACCTCATTGATACAACCTGCCTAGGATTGTATCAATGGACCATACTAGGGGGGTCACACTGGAGGTACAAATCAGACTCAAAGTACAACTAAGAGCCTTGGTGATACAATCCCATATTCGACAGAATGACGGGCTGACTGCTTACGGCTGGCTGCAATTTAGCAAGATTCTTAGGAGGACTCTTCCCTTGTACTTCTGCCATCCATGCGAAAGTTATATGGAAATCGTGCTAATTAAAAGTAGTCCTGACAAACATTTTAATGAGTTCAGCATGAATGATGCTCCAGCAGAGGTTTCAATACAATCTTCATTTATTTACCTAGTGGCACAAGGGAGGACCTGGTGTGGTGCGATAGAAAAAGGGCCATATCCTTTGTGGTGTACCACATTAAATTAATATGTCAGGCTTTCTAAGTCTGTCACTATTCACAGCCGATGGAACAATTGTTTTGCTTCCCCACACTCCTCTTTTTTCCCCCCAATTTTCACATAGTATCATGCTAAAAAAGAGTTATGGATTTCCTTCTGAGAGAACTGCATGGACTGATAAAGTAAATTCATGGCAGAAAACAACTTGTTATGTTCCCCTTTACCTCATAATTTCACTTAAGAGAGAAAGTGCAATAAATTTTGGCGGGGGAAAAAAAGCCATTTTGGACATTTCTAATGACCAGTCTGTGTAAACACTATTGAGAAATACGGGTGAGAACAATTCGCCCAAGGAATGATTATTTTTCTTGCTCCGAGCTCCTAAGCAGCACTTTTGTTAAGTATTTTGAAATTGTCTGAAGTTCATTTATGAAGTGGAAGAAGAAGGAAAAAGAGAGCATGTAGAAAACTCTCAAAGGCTTTTATGTTTAAATGCTTTATTCTTTGGTGATTATGAAACATTCACTTTCTAACTCAACAGAAGAACTGTTGCCCAAAGTTTCCTAACATACAGTTGGTGGGCTAGATTTTGATCTCACTGACTCTGGTATATACCCTGAGGCCAGAATCTGACCCAAGGAAGCCATGCAATGTCTATGACAATGGGCTCCTAGAGGCTCTGACAATATCAATAATGAATAATATAGGTGGCACTCTTGACATGCAGACAATAAGTTAGAGCTAAATTCTCTGCTAGTGTAAATTCACACAGCTCCACTGACTGTAATGAAGCTTCAGCCTTTCATCCGGGGAGGATTTGGCCCTTGGACTTTAGCATTTTATTAGCTTCCCCAACCCTACTTAAATACGGTGCCTCAGTGCAAGTCCTATTGGCTTTAGAACTGCTACAGGCTGGCTGTGCATTAGTACTTCAAGCACATCCCCCCAGGGTTCCTTCTTTATTACCTTATCAAAGAACAAAATTTCCTCAATAAGTCTTCCTGTACTGCAGATAAACTAGCAAATAAACATTTGGGTGAGTTAAAAGAAAAAAAAAGCTGCACAGGAAGATCCTTCTTGTTATTCTACCAATAGTGCTTCCTTTGCTTGTAAGCAGCCCAAAGGAAATGCTGGTTAAGAAGGAGCCAAAGGAGCAGTTAGCAGCATCTTGCTAGAGCTCCAGTATCTCTGTTAGAAGATGCTATAAGAACTTTTGGCTCGTACAGCTCATCAAGATTGAAACTCTTCTGATGCCTGTAAAAATGTACCAAAAGCCTTTCATTTGCAGGGTGAAAAGAAAGAGGTAATGAGCTTTTTTTCTATACATTCACCCTATTTTCAGACCAAAGGGGCCCCGAACTGCAACAGCAGCAGGGTGCTCGCATTGTAGCTTGTTGTGACCAGGCAGCTGACAAGCCTTCCGCATTCCACAGCTTGCTTATTAATATGAATAACTAATGACTCATGCTGACACTACCGAGGCTGGGAAACATTCTGTCACTAAAGAGTTATAAAACGTTATTCTCCCACAGCATCACCGCCAAATCGATGAGTGATCTGTGTGCAGTTTTGCACTCATTTCAAACTGAATATTCATGTCCCTACACACATGGCTTGAAACAGTCAGAAAACTGATGTTTAGGGGAAAAAGGTTGCTGATACCAGGCTATTAAGGGGGCTATAGCTGCAAGAATGCAAAGACATTTCTCACACTACTCCACTTGCTTACTAATATGAACAACTAATGATTCAAGCATCTGATCTACCGAGATCTATGAGCTTATTAGACCAGGCTTGTGAAACTTCTTTGTCACTGCCTGGAAAAGCCAGACTTCTCTGGATGTTGCAGTTTAGTTCCCACTCCCCTCCTTAAAGGACGTGGTGTGCCTGCAGCCAATAATTTATTATCATCAGAGAGTAACAAGGCATCAAAAGGAAAACAAGTGACAAGTGACAAGGCATCAAAACTAAATGTTTTGATCCTCCTCTTCGCCTGGGCTATGTGAGTTGCAACTATTTTTAAGCAAGTTTCTGAGCTTTTCTTACTTGCTTCCAGTGAGTATGCTTCTTCCTTTCCCCAGACTGACAAAGTAGCAAAAAATGAGACAGCATCACGCTCTGCTGGCTGTACCTATGAGCTTGCTTTTCATTCAGTACTGAGCTTGTGTTAAATGGTGATGTGTGTAGCTTACTGTTGGCTGTTATTTTTAATGGCTGTAGCTCAAGAGCAATGATTCTGCCAAAAGAATCAAAAAGGCTGGTGCTACTGCTATTGTATCTTGTATAACTCATATGAATAATATAAAATACTTGGATTTACAAAAGGAAAATTTGTGACTACTTGAATAGTTTAAGTGAATTTTCATCATATCTCTCCAGGATTGACACATATTAAGCTAATAAACCAATAACCTCAGACATTAGCTTCCATAAGATTTTTTTCAAAGAAAACAGAAGTGGAAAACTATATAGTATACGGGCTTCTTAAAATTTGCAAAAACCATGCATTTTCTTAAGCATGGGACAGTCCAAAGAATATTTAAACAGCATTGAATAGCACTTACCTCTCATGAAGCACTGCTGGTAAGAAGGAAATGACTCAAATACGCTGTTTGAAGCCATACTTTCCTCTTTAAAACTTACTTTCTCTTTAAGGTGGGGGGATATATGATTTCTTTCACCTTGGGAAGTGAAAAATTAAGAATATTCATTGTTATAACCCTGCTCCTGGCCATCTCTCTCTATTTCATCTTAATTCCTTTGAAGCAACATAAACAAGATAATAAGGTTCTTTTTCTAAAACAAACACTGAAATCGTTAAAAAAATAGCGGATCAGTTGTGGTTTGATGATGCTTACCACTCTACGAAACTCTGTGGTTTGCAGTCAAAATGATTTGCCCTGTCTGCTGACCAATATCCCGGACCCGCTCTTGTGTGACTGCCTCTGTACCCAACTTGTGGTTCTGTGGTTGTTTATGAGGCCCAAAGAAGTGTTTCACACAACCAAAATTACAAATTTAACTGTTCCCCTTTCCACAACCTGTCTCAATTGGTCTTTGCTGGTCACATGATTTGAGTGATGTCGACTTCAAAAAAAACACACTAAAACTTTCTAAGCAATGCCCTACCCACTCCACCTGCCCTCCCCTAGGCTGAGAAGAGAAACAGAATACATTTTGCAGAGGGAGGAAAAAAAAGTGACTCACAGCCCCTCATTCTACAAATGATCTTGCTGATTTAGTACAACTCTGCTTGTTTTGTTGTTTGTGGTTTTTGGAACTAGCGATTATTTTGATAGAGATTTCTTTGCTGCTTATTCAATAGTAATTCAAACCCTGGTATTAGTTGGCTGCTAAAGGAGGATGCATATGTCATCATTTAAAACCCTAGGAATTAGCTGTAGGAAAAGTCCACTAGCTACTGAAGAAGAGTATCAAGGAGTAAAAATCTGCACTGAAAAAATTAAAAGAATTTAAGAATTTCAACCTATAGAACTCATAACAAAGAGCTTGAAGAAAGCCAGTCTGTATAATCTGGCAACAAAGAGATTGTAAGTTACTTCCAAATCTTGCACCAAAATCCTATAAGGGCAAATCCTTTCCCATGCTAAACTCCAATCGTTTTCAGAAGGAGTTTTACCTGAGTGAAAAGTGAGTAGAGTCTCATCAGTATTTAGGATAATGTGAAAAAGAGATTGATCAAAGAACACAATATTCTAAATTTCTCTCTAAAACAGTGGAGCTTCTTTACAAACATAACTCATTGAATGTTCGTTTGACTCTACTTACAGAGGAAAAAAAGCTACTTATTCCAGAGCAATATAATGACTGTTATGCCAGCTATTGTCTCCTTTCTCCCCTCTTCTGAATACTGGACAGCTACCTTTTTCACACTTCAGTGCTAATCAATATGATACCTCACACCTGTACAAGAAGCCTGGCACTTTACAGGTTTTTTTAAACCATTAAACATTTGCCAAGGAACCAGTGACAATAGAAGAAATGAACCAATGCAGGCAGCATATCAAAAAGAGTATCGTCCCCCCCACATTATGTGACTAATACACTTAAAAGTGTAGCTTGAAGAAAAAGCAATACACATTTGCTATGTTGTTACTATTTGTAATGAAGTACATGCAAGAGACCCTGATTCGGGGTATGAACCCATTGAACTGGATTCTGCACAAGCGCACAGGAGCACACAGTCTCTCTCAGGAAGAGTTCATAATCTAAGACCACAGTGCTGCAGTTGAACTCATGACATGGACCCTAAAATTACAGAGAGCCCCTCGGACTTGTATGGGGCTCCTCACAGAAGGATTCACCCATCTGAAATGTATCTCCAGTGGATGCTAACAAACAACACTTTTAATACTTCTGTATTCTG